AAAGCACCCTCTGCTGATGACGGACTGTAATGTCACTCTATGAAACCCTTCCTCCACAGGCAGCTTTGTCCATATTTGGTATGATCAGTGGACCTCTCTTGGGCCTTTATATGCTGGGCATATTCTTCCGCTGCGTGAACTCCACTGTAAGAGCTTATATCTTAATGTACTCATTACTATGTTTCAAGAGTCATTTTGTACATCTTTTTAAACAAACAATTAACCAAAGTGTCTTAAAAATGCTCCAAGTAATGTTTTCCACAACAAGTGTGTGACAAACCATTTGTGAACGGTATTTTTCCAATAGCTTCAGTAACTAAAAAAAGTTTGCTTTTTACATCATTCTACATCCACACCAATAGGGTTTCAAGACCAGTCACATTAACAAAAGTACTTAATGCACTTTTAACCATAATAAAACTTTTTGATTTTTAGATTTGATGTACCTCAGATTCATACAGATTAACTGTGTGTTCCTTCAGGGAGGTTTAGTTGGTTTGATTTCTGGCCTGACTATAACGTTATGGGTGGGAATTGGAGCTCAGTTGTATCCTCCTTTACCTGAGAAGACCCTTCGGCTTCCCTTGAGTGTGGAAGGATGCTTTGCACCGGACATGAATGAAACCACCACTATCACACCATTCAGCACAGTCCTACAAACCACAACTCCACAGTAAGCAATCCTATATTTGTATATATTTACACAACAATTCAAAAGGTTGGGGTCGGGGTCTCTTATGCTCACCAAGCCTGCATCTGTTTGATTGAAACACACTGATACAGTTAAATTGTAAAATATTATTACAATTTAAAATAATTTTTTGTTTTCATATATTTAAAAATGTCATTTATTTCTGTGATGTCAAAGCTGAATTTTCAGCAGCCATTAATCCAGTCTTCAACATTCTTCAGAAATCATTATCAAGCGTAGCGTTAGTTCTGGCAGGTCACGTTAGTCAAGCTCGCATCAGCTGACCTTCAGCTGATCCCCATCTACCTATGGGAATACGACACCTATCTAAGCATTCATATATAAGGTCACTCAGTATTATCAGCAGTTTTCGCATTGCTCAATAGCTAATTACCCTCCTCCATCCCCAGCTCCTCCTCTGTCAGTCAGGATTCAGCCTTCTGATTCTCCTTGAATCAGACTAATTCTAAAATGTGTACATAAAATGATTGAACTTTAACAATATCTGCAATACATTTATGTTGGTTCTGTTCTGTTTACCCTGGGGGGTTATCGCTGCTCTCCCTGCTCTCATCCATGCTAGGCTGCATGGAGGCGCAGGGAGTTCTTGCCCAGAACGGAACCATACCGCCAATCCAAACTGTATGCTAATTGTCAATCATCTTTGATGATAGTGGTCCTGACAGAACTAATATGCTGATTTGCTACTCAATAAACATTTCTTATTATCAATGTTGAAAAACAATGTACGTGCTTCTTAATAGTTTTTGTGGAAATGTGATACATTTTCAGGATTCTTTGCTGAACAGAAAATTAAAAAAATATATAAATAATAAAAATAATTTATTTTAAATAGAAATCTTTTGTAACATTATAAATGTCTCTATTGTAAATTTTGATCAATTTATTGCAACATACTGACATCAAAGCTAACTGCAACTTGTCCCATGCCATTCTTCAGGCCAAGACCAGCTTTGGCAGACAACTGGTATTCTTTGTCCTACTTGTACTTCTGCCCTGTGGGCATAATAGTGACCATGATCACAGGACTAATAGTCAGTGCAATCTCAGGTAAGGTGACTCTTTCTCATCTTTTTGTAAGTGAGCCAAACAGTCAGAGATTAAACCTAAACTCTGAGTTATTTATTTCTTTACTTCAGGTGGCTGTAAGCAGGAGAAAGCTCGACCTGAGCTCTTTATTGGAAAATCAGATCTCATCTGCTTTGGATGCAGAAGCTCAGACTCAGAGGTGAGAGATTTCATTCCCAGTGCGACAGACACGGTACAAAAAAAAAAAAAGATTATAGAAATTGAATTTTATATATTGTGTTATCCAGGTCTGAAATAATGCTTCAGTTAAGATAATAATAATTAATAATAACATGTAAAACTGCTTTGCATTTAATTTTTATTTCCCTTTTTAGGTGTCAGACTTAATTGAGAAAGACCCAAAAAATATCCAGGGGCTGGAGAATCAAGTTTTCAGTGACAATGAAATTGCACTGAAAGAGAAAGACTACAAGGAGAAGATCACTAAGTTTTAAATGTGAAAAACAAACAGATTTTTGGATATGATGTAAATAGTAAATTATGACTGTTTTTTTGTATGTTGGAATGAAGTGATGATGATACATTCAATCCTTACAAACCTTCCCATAAGAGAAGTAAGAAATTAATGTTTAACATGTATTTTTATTCCAGTAGGCTACATTATACTGTATACGGGCTGTTCTCATAAACTACATCAAAATTCTGTGATTTCAATGGTCAGGTTTTGAATAATTTACACAGGAATATTTAGTAAAAGGTTCTGTATTAAATCTAAATTATTTTGAAATAAAATTGGACAAATGTTGATGTGTCAAACTCACTGCGTAATAAAGTAACACTCAGGAAGGAATAACCACTGAAATCAAACAAGCACATCAGAGTGAAGGGTTAAAAACTCTTGGGTTACACACGGGTTAAACAATGGCTGAACACCTGCCTCCTCGATGCCGGTAAAGGAAGTCAGCCATTCAAGGTCGGCCCCCTCTACCTGTTTGTTTGACGTGGAGCTGAGCTGTTTTCTTAAGGGAGTGGGAAATGAATGGAGCCTGCAGCAGGTGTGGGAGTGTAATAACTGCTGCGAGCCACTTCCTGCTTTCACTACCACCGTTTCTTTCAGCTTACAGGTAGGCTCTGCTCTTGTTGTCCTAAATTAATACTGTTTTATACACTACAACAATTACACAAAAGAGGATGTAGGAGAATGAAAGCGAGATGAGAGAAAGAGACAGGAACCGAATTAGTTTCTTTTAAAAAGATCCATAACATGTAGCTTTTATCACAATTATGCATATTGGATGTAAATTAAACAAAATTGTCTGTGAAAACAATTCAATTATGGGGGGCCACTTTAATTAGGGAAAATCTGTGATGGGTGACATTTATAAAAAGGGTCGCCCATGACTGTTTGTTTTGCCTACGCAAAACCATGTGGCTCTTTGTTGTCTTCAGTTTCATCTCAGCGCCATTTTAGACGTAATGCCTCATGTTCTTCTAACTTTCTGTATGTGTTCTTTTAAACAAAGTATGCATTTCATTTTTTAACCTACATATTAATGATTCAAATGTGTAGTGCTAAAAAAAGTATTTTGGAAAAGAGAAAAAAACATTGTTTGAATAATAAAACATAAAGGAAGCCATGATGATACCCTTTTACCAGAAATACATGTACTTAGTACATGGAAATTTTGCAAGCACCTAACAGGAAACCACGTCAGCACCACATACAGATAAAACACACTGAATTAGGTTATGTGCTGTATGAAAGTGTATGTCTTATCTCTCTATCTGGAGTGACTTGTGCTCTGTGTATGTTTTTTTTTTTAAGGAGAAAGCAGTTGCAACAGTTATGGGTGTGCTAACTTTTCAGCTTTTGGTATGTGGCCAGCTAATATTGTTTTTGCTGGTCTTGAATAATATAATTGATGCACAACATACTGGTGAGTCACCATCAAGCCTGAGTGCTACAATAGCCTCACCTCTGAATGCAACAGGAAACCACACAGAAAATAATGTCTCAAATTCATCAAGCTATTCAGCACACAGTAATAGTACAACAACTCAAAACAACTTGACAACCCAGACGACCACTATTGTCTCCAACACTACTTTGGGACCCAACCAAAGCAATGTAACAGGATCAGCAGGGCAGCCAAACAAAACAGAAAATGCTCAGACAACCCAATCATCCACATCCTCAGCATTCAACATCAGTTCAACAGCTGTCACTTCTACAGACAACACCACACATAGCAGCAATGGAAGTGCTATATCAAAAACAGCACCAGTGACCAAACCAACAGCGATAACTTCTACCGCTGTAACTCAAAACAGCACAACTTCTTTGAATGAATCTCAAGGTAGGTCTGAACATATCTTAGCATTAATAATGTAAACCAAATAATGAAATATGTTTCCCCTGCCTAACTATTCCTACCTCTGTTTTAAAGCAGGTGATGGCCTGAATCATTCAGAGAAATCTCTGACCATTTTATTCAGCATTCTGCTTGGTGTAATAGTTCTGGTAATTCTGGGGCACTTTGTGTACAAGTTCGGCAGGAGCAAAGAGAGAAGTATCCAATACACTCACCGCCGTCTCCACAATGAAGATACAGGTTAGGAAAACCTATCTTATTTTAAAAAAAAAAAGTAAAAAAAATAAAATAAATATATATATATACATACACATACATACACACACACACACACACACACATACATCATACACACACTACACACAAACACATATGTCTGTTTATGATGGTGTTTGCTAAGGTAACCATGATTAATAAAAAATAAAAATACAAATATATATATATATATATATATATATATCCTATCAACCACTCAAAACACCTTAGAAATGGGTTAGAGTCTGGGAAAGTTGTCAGGCCAATTCCAACATCATGCCGTCAAGTCTTGCATGGGCAAGCACATTTAATCTAGTATATAGTTTACAGTAATCATAAAGATTAAATATTCACTATGAATAGTATTATTGTCTGTAATTTTCTTTCACAGGTGAGCCATTTGCAGTGCCAGATGACACGCTGGTCATTTCAGGAGGACTCTATGACGGCCCTCAGATTTACAACCCCACCATGACAGTGCAGAACGAAGAATTCCAGATAGACGCACCTGGATTTGCATCCAGACCCACTCAGTTCCGCTTGGAGTTTCTGAGAGAGGATCAAGACAGAGCAGACCCTGATACTTCCACCTTTCAGACATTCCATGCACATGATCAAGAGCCAAGCTGAAAATTTTACTTTTACTTGAAGCTTCTATGGAAAAAGTTTTTAAATAGTTACATCTTTTGAACTTTGAAACTGAAATTTTGAACTAATAAAATTAGTGAAGATAACAGAAAAACACAAATATAAATACAAATATTTGTTAAACACACAACTGAAACAAACAACAACTGTATCAGGAACCAGAATCTTTTGATAAACATTTTAAGGTACTGTATTTTAACCAAACATACTATGAAGAGAAACTGTGTACTGAGAGATTAGAATAAATAATATAAATACTTCTGCTTATTCAAACACCAATATAAATTGTAAGCAATCAGAAGCTATTGTATTAAGAGTATGTGTACTCTAGTTTTCTAAAAGGATAATCACACATTTTTGATGCAAACACTTTTAAGCAAAGATTTTGTCTGTTGCTTTTTTTTTCTTCTTATCTGAATTGCTAACAGTGGTCCATCCAGCATCTCGCATTCTCTTTATTGCAGCCAGTTTCAGCACTGTTCCTGGAGACTTACATGGAAAAGAACTCTGCACCTGTACATAATTTGCACACGACTGTCAAAACAAGAACATTAAGGAATCAATTTGGACAAAACTAGTCATATGTGATTTTTGCTTACCTTCTTGAACATGTCCAAACTCCCTGTGTCTTGGTCTTTTGGTTGCATAGGTTTCTTTGATTTAATAGGTCTTGGAGAGAAACTCTGCACAACAGATACAGGGGATTAAGAAAGAGTAACACAAACCACAATTGTAAGAAATTACTTAAGTTGATTGCAAATAAAAATGCAGATCACTGAAAACTGTTTGTATATAGCACAATACCAATAGTATGTGAATAGAGTGAATAGATAAAATTTACCAGTATGTCATTGCTGTCTGAGTTGTCTGATTTTGGATCCAGCTTCAGAATGTTTTCCTTCCAAGACCACGCAATCTTAGGTGAGGGTGGTGTGCGAATTCTGAATGACTGAGCAGAAAATAAACGGACTCATATAAATGCTCAAGATGAATGATGAGCAGTGCAAACTGTTCAGGTTGCCCCCATACCTTTATTTGAGGTGTTGTTTTAGTTGTTTTGCTCCATAATGGAGTATGCAGGTCTTCATTCACTGTTTCCTTGAATCAATAACAAAAAACATCATCAACAAATGTTAGATGATAGAAATGAAGAATAAGAATGCACAAAATGGACAAAGACAATGGAAAAAAAACCTACAGCAGGAGTGTTAGATGCATTTCTTGATGGCGGTACATTTTCATCCTCTTTTAAAAGTGTATACACAGGCTTCTTAGCGGTGTCAGCTCTCTGAGTTTTAGAGATCTTGTTTCTTCCCTTCTTAGGTTTGATTTCAGTTACCTAAAACAATATTTTCATACTGCAGTGTTCACTTTAAATTGCCATGTATACTTATGGTATCTCAATTGACAAGATATTGACCTGTTGAAGCGTGTCTTTTTCAAGAGATGAAACTGGTGTCCTTAAGGCCACCTTCTCTCCTTTGAGCTTTTCAAGTTGTTGTCTAAGATCATCCTTTTCCACTTGCAGGTGGGACAGCTCCAGTTCCTAAATTAATTGGTTATTTGGTTTTTAGCAGAGATTTGTTTTTCCAAAAAAATTTACATTACACCTACTAAAGCGATAAGGTGTCGCTAAAGTAACCTTTGGTTAAATGTCTCAAGGAAACAATGGTAACTCAAGATCTTTCCAATGAATTTAGAAATCCATCTTTTGGACCTAGGACTCTTTTATTACCATCTCAGGCATGCTGAGTATGATATTCAATGCAAGCAATGGATTGCAAGATGTCAGATTAAGCCATTAAAAAGGTCAAATCATTACCAGTGATGCTTTGCTTGCATTGACTTCAGCCTCTCTCATCCGTTTCTCACTTAGCTCCGCATCTTTTTCTTCTAACATTTTGTCATACTCATGCTACCAAGAAAATAACAACAATAAAATGAATGAAAAGTGCTCAAAAACAACTGAAAATATTGTATAATTTGATAACAACCTTGTGCCTCTCCATCAAAGCAACCATGTCTGATATCTTCTGCTGGCATTTGATTTCTGTGTCATCTTTACTCTTCAGTGCCTCCATGGCTGTTTCCTTCAGTTTTTGCACCTACAACCCCCCACCCCCAAATCCTGATGAATTATTTGTGTCAGGTCTCGTTTTTTCAGTTGTTGCATTCAATGAAAAAACAAAACAAACAAACAATAAAAAAACAAAAAACATATCACCTCAAGGTTGAGTTGATCCTCTGAAGTTGATTTATCTTCAAGGTTAGAGCTTATTTTCTGAAGCTCCTCCTTGTAATGTTTCTTTATACCTTCCAAATCTTCTTTCAATGTAGTAATCTATGAGAAATATGTCAAATACTGTAAACTGTAACATGACCACTGTTATACTTATATACACAAGCATATATTTACTCAATTAAAATTTATGAGAAAACAGTGTATATGCATGCTTAAATCCTCTAAAGAATCACAACTGACTATCACTATCACAAATGAAATGAATTTTGGCTAACATCTCCAAGGTCCCGTTTCATACTGACTTCCAATATAAAATTCTATTACATTATTCGATCATTTAGAAAAATAATAGTAAATGATCTACCTCTTTTAGACATTCCTCGTGAGCTTTTGTTTTGGTCTCTATTTTTGTTTTAATGTTTGTTAGCTGAAAAAAAAAAAAACAGAATAAAATAAATTTAAAAAACGTTGTGTAAGCACAGTAGTGAATAGTGCATATGTACAGTACTGTATGTCACAATATGATTTTTTTTTTTTACCTTTGACTCCAGTGCTTTGATTTGTTTGTCTTTTGTCAGAAGTTCCCGCTTTGCAGTTTTGCCCTGTTGGGGTGATTTAACGAGCTATGGTTAGATATATAAGATGATACACCTCAACAAACTGCAATAATAAAACAGTATAATAAAGTATAATTGCGGCCTTATGTCCCCAAGAGGGACGAAGAGGATTAAGAAGAAAGATAATAAAGAGAACGCACACTCTCTTTCAATTGCTGTTGAACATTCTTACTCTCTTCATCCTGCCCAGCAATTTTTGCAGATAAATTATCCACCTGCTCCCTAGAATATGAAAATGTACATGTAAGGCATACTAAAATGATAAATAAACCCAAATTTGCAATGTTGCAAGACAAAAGTCTCCTCTAATCTTACTGAAGTTGTTGTTTCTCTCTCTCGAGTCTCTCTATTTCTGTCTTCTCTCTTTCTGCATTTGCATTGCTTTCCTGTAAAGAAATAAACCACAACATACAGCATTTGAGGATCTCTTTGTCATATTTACATCATATAGAGGCTTGATTTAATTTACAAACCATGAGATGAGACTGAAGGACTTTCTTCTCTAAAGCACCACTATCAACCTGTTGCTGAATGGTGTCCTTCTGCATCTGCAGGTCATTAAACTTCAATATTGTTTCCTTCAGTTTTTGCACCTACAACCCCCCACCCCCAAATCCTGATGAATTATTTGTGTCAGGTCTCGTTTTTTCAGTTGTTGCATTCAATGAAAAAACAAAACAAACAAACAATAAAAAAACAAAAAACATATCACCTCAAGGTTGAGTTGATCCTCTGAAGTTGATTTATCTTCAAGGTTAGAGCTTATTTTCTGAAGCTCCTCCTTGTAATGTTTCTTTATACCTTCCAAATCTTCTTTCAATGTAGTAATCTATGAGAAATATGTCAAATACTGTAAACTGTAACATGACCACTGTTATACTTATATACACAAGCATATATTTACTCAATTAAAATTTATGAGAAAACAGTGTATATGCATGCTTAAATCCTCTAAAGAATCACAACTGACTATCACTATCACAAATGAAATGAATTTTGGCTAACATCTCCAAGGTCCCGTTTCATACTGACTTCCAATATAAAATTCTATTACATTATTCGATCATTTAGAAAAATAATAGTAAATGATCTACCTCTTTTAGACATTCCTCGTGAGCTTTTGTTTTGGTCTCTATTTTTGTTTTAATGTTTGTTAGCTGAAAAAAAAAAAAACAGAATAAAATAAATTTAAAAAACGTTGTGTAAGCACAGTAGTGAATAGTGCATATGTACAGTACTGTATGTCACAATATGATTTTTTTTTTTTACCTTTGACTCCAGTGCTTTGATTTGTTTGTCTTTTGTCAGAAGTTCCCGCTTTGCAGTTTTGCCCTGTTGGGGTGATTTAACGAGCTATGGTTAGATATATAAGATGATACACCTCAACAAACTGCAATAATAAAACAGTATAATAAAGTATAATTGCGGCCTTATGTCCCCAAGAGGGACGAAGAGGATTAAGAAGAAAGATAATAAAGAGAACGCACACTCTCTTTCAATTGCTGTTGAACATTCTTACTCTCTTCATCCTGCCCAGCAATTTTTGCAGATAAATTATCCACCTGCTCCCTAGAATATGAAAATGTACATGTAAGGCATACTAAAATGATAAATAAACCCAAATTTGCAATGTTGCAAGACAAAAGTCTCCTCTAATCTTACTGAAGTTGTTGTTTCTCTCTCTCGAGTCTCTCTATTTCTGTCTTCTCTCTTTCTGCATTTGCATTGCTTTCCTGTAAAGAAATAAACCACAACATACAGCATTTGAGGATCTCTTTGTCATATTTACATCATATAGAGGCTTGATTTAATTTACAAACCATGAGATGAGACTGAAGGACTTTCTTCTCTAAAGCACCACTATCAACCTGTTGCTGAATGGTGTCCTTCTGCATCTGCAGGTCATTAAACTTCAATATCAGCTCCTCATATTTCTCCCTTCAAGGAAAAAAACAGTTCCATAAGATATTGAACGGATTTCAATGATACAATAGCAGAATGGCCAAAATACTTAATTTAATGACATTTACATGAACATTACAATTTTTTCTTACAACTCATTTTCTTATACAAAATGTAGTGTACAAACTTGAAACACACATCTATTTGCAAAATTCAAAGAAAGATTATCTCCCTTACATATCTACCTATACCTACGGTAGACTATCTGTACAATATGTGAAACAGTAACCAATAAATTAGAGGAGTAAGTTGGCTATACAAATTTACGTGTTGGTTTCAACATTATAGGTTCAGTCTTGAGATTTAGAGATTAATGGTATAAAACAAGACAGGTCATGATTGCTCTTACTTCTGCTGCTTTATGTCTCTCTCCAATCTTTCTACCTCTTTTGATGATTTACAGCTGCTCTCCAAAGCTCCTGACAATTGTTCCTCCATCTCTTTTAATTTAGCCTGGATGAAAGATGTACAGATTTAGTTTGAGCAGTTTAGTTTGATGTTATTCAATCATGTTCCATCATATTCTTAAACTCAAATAAATACATATGCTGTGTAATGACCTTTAAAACAACTTCCTTTTGCAGCTCTTCATTGTCATGTCTAGCTTTTGTCAGGGCTTCCTTCATGTTTTTATTTTCTGTGATGACACTCTCTATTTCATCCTGAGAGGGGTGAATATTATGTAAAGTATGAAGCACATGCAGCACTGAAATTACTGAAAATTAATTTTGCTGTGTCGATGAATGCTTAATGACCTTCTGCTCACCTTCAAATGATTTGCTTCACTTTTTTTCTCTTCAAGTGAGGCAATAAGCTGGAGAATCTGACCCTCCTTTGTCTTTAATTCCTCCTTTATAGACCAAAGTGAGTTTGTCTTTTCATCCTGTTATAGAAACACTGTGAGCTCGGTTTCATAAATGCAAAAATCACAGAACATGAATACTTAAACAGAGAGGAAATAAATACCAGCTCATCTCTGAGTATCTGTATTTGCTTGCTATGGTTCTCTTTCTGCCCCTTGATAACTTCTGTATGAAGATAGTGTAACCATTTTAGAATGGTACAAAGCATGCAATGATATCATTATTCATTAACATACAGAGTCTTAACACACCTAACTCTGTGTTTTTGTCACTAAGTTCATTCACCAACGAGGTTATCTTTGTCTCAAGGTCTTGTGCCCTGTGAAAACAAAGGAAGCATTCAATAATGGATAAAATTAAATATTAAAGTTCTTTACCTGTGCTACTGGTTTGAGATTTACAAAAAATTATGTTAGGTCTTGTACTGATATAGCCTCTTTAACGTACCTTTGTATCTCAGATGTTAGTGAGGACTGCAAAGAATTCACTGTCAGCTGAATCTCTGAAAGTTGGTTTGCCTGTTGCTCTTTGATGTTGTTTAGTTCCTGTAGTTCATCGTCTTTCGCTTGAAGAACTTTCTCATGGTTCTCTTTGCTTTGCTCCAGTTTGTAAGTTAGGGCTCTCTGGTTTTCCTATGAACAGCGATACAATACATAACATAAATAAGAGATGCACCGATCGACCGGCCAGGGTTCGGAATCAACCGATTTTCCACGTGATCGGCCCGGACCGTCTTGCCGATTCCGAGTCGGTCCGTTTTGACTTCACTGCTACACTCACATCCGCATGTAAACATGTCATCAGCGTGGAAGTTCTTCACTGTGAGTGATTCACGCTTGTCTGGGACAAGTAGATTTTTTAAAGGGGCAATTGAGAGAGAATACTACATGCCTGACCAGACAAGAAGCCTGATTAAAACGTCAACAACAACCATAACTAGGGAAGCACTGAAACTTGGCCACCACAAATGCTCACGCGAGAATGATTTTGATTTTATTGCATTCAGTGTAAACGGTGACTAATAATGTATTTGTCATGCCAGATGAGGCAAAGAGGGAGAGGGACTCGTGCAGAAATCAAAACAAATGAGCACAACAGCACACACAAAATAACTCACAGAAAGTTATAGATGGATACCGCAGTAGAATTATTATTTTTTTATAATACGTAAGCAAAATTACACAACCAAGATGTTTTCCCGAATATCAGAACGATTGCAATGTGACACTGATTTTATACAATAGTATATCAATTTTATACAATAGTAGTTCAATAAACAAGTGACCTACATTTTAGACTCAATATTGACTGTTATAGCTCAATTTTGCAAACGAAAATAGTTCCAAAGCCATAGCAGAACTGTATGTCTCCGAGCAACAAACAGCGGTGTTTCGTTACTAAATGAATCCACAGTTTTGAACAAATCAAGTCAATGATTCAGTGACCCATTCATAAAGACAGTCACTTGCCTAGTTTCCGAATGAATCAGCCGTTTGAACGAATCGGTTGAATTAATGACTAAATGATTCACTCATTAAAACAGTCATTTGAGGCCACCTACTGGTGGTGTGGTTTCATATTTAATAGTATCGTTGCATTTTCCCCAACATTTCTTACTATGTTCAAATAAATAAATAAATAAACATTAATGTTATCACATTATTTATGCATACACTGCAATTTTGCATTTATGGCACCTCAGATTCATCAAACAGTCTGTGTAAATACATGTAATGCCACTTCAGATGCAGCTTCTGTTTCCTCTGCAGTGGAATGATGGAGTTTGTTGATACTGATTTCATTGAATGGTAACAAATCTACAGTTTCTTATTCTAATTCTATTAATTCTAACTGAATTAATTGAAACAATGTAAGAATTTGATGTGAAAGATGACACATACATTTAATAAGGTTAGGGAAAAAATGCCTATTTAATTAAAAACATAGTGGGAAATGACATCTGTTTTGTTATATACAGAAACTCATTTCTACCTCTTTCCAGTCACAGAACACTTTATTTTGAGAGTTGTTAGTCCAGACTGGGGGAATGTAATGTTTAATCATTTCTTTCATTATGTAAATATTTTTTTGCATAGAAAAAAAAGTAGATTTTTGTTTGTATAAGCTGTCAATTATAGTTCTTAGAAAGAAAATCGGAATCGGCAAAAATCGGTATCGGCAGGTCATACCTACAAAATAAATTGGAAATCAGAATCGGCCAAGAAAATTGCAATCGGTGCATCTCTAAAATGAATTATTTTAATCTTTATGCACTATCCTTACAAGTACAAAATATCTGTAATAAAGCAAGTGCATAAGGACAAACCTCGATCTCCCATTTGAGTTGCTCTGTCACCCTGAGTTTCTCCTCAAGTCCCTCCCGGTCCTGTGTAACACTTTGAAGTAGTTTCTGATGCTTCCCTAAAAACAACGAAAGTGAAGGTAAATGACTTTTTGAAAAATCAAGAAAAAAGACTGATGCAAATGTTTCAAGCATTCTTACTTTCTGACTCCTCTATTACACTGCAGCTTTGCTGTGCCTCTTTGAGTTTCAGTGAAACATCTTTGAGATTGTTTTCTTTTTCTTGGAGTTTTTCTTGAAGCATAGCAACCTCAACAAGTTAAAGACAAGGAACACAAAATACACATGTGTTTTAGTCACAAAATGAACACAAAGACAGGCGAGTGCTACTGTATTCAAGATCTTTCAAAATCAAGATTATTCAAGCAAATGCTGCCCCCTTCAGGCTGAATGAGTTATTTGTAAGGCTCATGAGCAAAGGCACTACTAACCTCGTTCTCCTTCACAAGGCATTCACTCTCCAACTTCACTTTAAGATCCTCAAACTGTGTAAGGCATTCTCTTACTGTAGGATGTTAACAAAACAATGTTAAAATTATTTATTTCATTGCGTCTAATACACTATATACTTCAAATGAATTCAATTAATTTGTAAAAAAAAATAATTAGAAAAATGAATAAAAAATGAGCACATTTCAACATATCCTGCTGATCAGACTCTGCCTGCTTCCGAAGACTTTCAAATGCTACCACCATCCTCTGCAAATGAACAAATTACAGTGTCATGAAAAGGATTGTCCTAATCTAGGGTTCGGCCTATTGCCAACACTTCATGCATCCTAAAAAAAAGACATTACCCGAATATTCTCACTGTTCTGTATGAACAGATCATGAGTTTCTTCCCGTTCAGCCTCAACTATTCAGGCAAAATAAAAAACACATGATTGTCCTCTAATAATTGATAATGAATTCATATATTTAGTGTTATGCTATATTATATTATTCATATACATATGCTCACACTTACACAGATTAATTTTCTCAGCAGATCTCTCAAATGTGTCCTTTAGTATGTTGCACAAATTTCTGGTTGCATTGCTTCTGCATAATAAAGAATATAACAATTTATAATATAATACAATTTCAAATAATATGTGCTTATATAAAAATGACCCATGATATACGTACTTATTTCTAAGGTCTTCATTTTCATTCAGTTGATCCTCTAATTTCATGCTCAGACTTTCATTTGCAAACTGCAAAGGACATAATTCATAATTCTGTATTTACTGAAGCAGACAAAAAAATAATAAAAACAAATGCACTTCCAGCAAATGTGATTTACCTGAAGCTCTTGAATAGCTTTGCGCTGCGTCTCGATGGTTTTTCTGTTCTCCTGAAGCTTTCTGTCTTTTTGTGAAATCTCAGAATCTATTTTGAACTTCCACATTTTGATTTTCTCAGCTTCATCAAGCAATCTGGAGTACAGCTGGCTGGATGTTAATGATGTCTGTAATGCAAAAGCATAACAGATATTAAACTGCTTAGATTTATTTACATTATGCCTTGCACTGAATTCATAATGTGGACCTTAAACCATTATAGATTATAAAAATAAACAAATAATTATCAAAGCAATAAACTACAATAAAAAATGAAATAAGCATTTAATCTGACCTCCTCCTTTTCCATTGGCATGACTGCAGCCTTCTTCATCCCATCTGTAAGAACAAAGTATCAGGATTAATGTATTTACTACATTAAAACCATTTACAGCACACTTTCCATTTCGACTATAAATGTTACCAGTTCTTGATGTCTTCGTAGGAAGCACCATTTTAGATGGAATCGGCAGGCTTGTCTCCATATCTGAACACTTGTTATAACGCTACAAACAAAATACACGTATCATCCTACAATTAAATGTTCAAACAGCAGTTTCAGCAGCCAGAGGTCAAATAGCAACATTATAACACAAACAGAGAATTTACAAATGTACCAACCTGGTTTGAAGGAGAAAAACCAGAGTTTTCTTCAAACAAGCCTGTTTCCTGAGGCTTCACTGCGGAAATTTGATTCAAATGAGCTCTTGGGGGCACCAGCAGTTTGAAGTTGAATGGTTTTTGCATGCTGTGGAGTCAAACGAAATATATCACTTCAAAAATCCTTAGAACTGTATCCCGAATAGTTTTATTGTTGAGTTTTTTCCCTAGCTGAGAAACGTCAAGTCGAAAGTTGAGGTAGTTAAGCAAAGGTAATTTATTCCTCACAAATTATCTGATTTCCGTTACTTTTCCACTATTATAAACTACGTGTATGTAATTAAACTTAATTTTAGAAAAATTTCTTTACCTTTAAGCAAATCACCTAGCACTTTCTGAACGTTTTTATAATTAATACGACTCCGCTGACCAACGGTTTTTACCTGACGCCGATTTGAAATGGTTTGCGCGGTTAATTCACGCGCTGACTCCGATTCAATTTAGCAACAGGAGTAGCAATTAAAATGAAGGCCCCATATCAGCCGGAACTTCCGAAATGTAATATTTATTTCCCCCTGGTTTGTTAAAAAGAATGCTAATTATAGGACAAGCTTTAACTTTTATAGCATGCTTCAAAAGTACATTACTTTAATTCGGCGCCTCAGAGACCTAAGGTAACATGAAGGCGTTGCATTTTCACATGATATTTTCAGACTGGGGGAGATATTCTCCTGCCATTTGTTTTTTTTCTTCTTATGTTGCATTTTTTTCTTTCTGAAATCCAGTTATTTCCGAAAGCATTGCTGAACATTGTTCGGGATACCTGCCACATTTCTGAAAGGTGCATCCAACTAAGGGTTAAAGCTTGGTTTTGAATAGGTCAGATGAACATTTTGCAAAAGAAGTCAAAGAGAAAATAAGAGGTACTTGCATCATTGTGAGTCTCAAAAGAACACCAGGGTTCACACCCAACAGATGTGAAGTCATACAACTTTTATTAAAACGAGAATCATTTTTAACCATTTTGCAACAGAAAAATTATATACATTTAAACTGGCTCTGATAGTAACATATTTGGCATTTCAAGAACAATTTCCAATTAGGCTATACACAAATTGCCTTTGTGTTTACAGTTTTAAACAAGTAAATAATCTTTCATCACTAAATTGCTAGACTACACACATAGACACACATGCACAAGAATACACAAAATAACAGACACTGGCGAGTGTGCATGGATACTAACAAAACAATGCATTAACTGTTTTAACTTGGAAAATATTTACCAAGTTTTATGTTCAATTTGTGCATATATTTAACAAGAGACACTATTTGCATATCTACCGCTTTCACATTACTCTGTCTTTTTTGTTAGAAGGCAACATTTGTGTCTTGTAGATTAATTCTTTATATACATGTATTTACTGATTTAATCTTTCTCTCACTCCCAGTGTACATAAAATGCCCTAAAACAGATGAGAGACAGTTCTTGTCCTACAGTAAATGTCCAAGTTTTATGTTCAATTTGTGCATATATTTAACAAGAGACACTATTTGCATATCTACTGCTTTCACATTACTCTGTCTTTTTTGTTAGAAGGCAGCATTTGTGTCTTGTAGATTAATTCTTTATATACATGTATTTACTGATTTAATCTTTCTCTCACTCCCAGTGTACATAAAATGCCCTAAAACAGATGAGAGACAGTTCTTGTCCTACAGTAAATGTATGTTTTAAACTGAAGTTAGGTTCTAAAATAATAATATTAATAATAATTCTAAAATATTTATTGCATGACCATGTGCTCATGCAAGGCACTGAAAGGTTTGCATCACTGCCTCAGTAACCAGAATAGTCCAAGATGTATGTCTGTAATCAGATCCTCGATGTAGAGAGTGCAGAAATATAAGAATCAACCAGAATAAAACCAGGATCAGCTATTGTCACACAGCATCCTCTGCAGTATTGTCATCGGGTACTTTCAGTGCCTCTACAACCTCTTTGCCAGGTTCCTCCTGCAGATTGGCTCTCTTGGATTCCTCTTTTGCTTCTTTATCCAGTAACCTGTAGTTGATGCCCATTCCGATGAACAGAAACAAACTGCCAGCCAGAAGGACAATTCCACAGGCCATGTATGTATACTTGTAGTCATGGTAGATGTCATTGAACTTCCCTGTGAGTGCATACAATAATCTTAAAAAAAGAGTCAGTGATCCAAGTGGGACCGTAAATGCATATTCAACAAAAAGTGATTAAAATGTAGGTCATACTTTTGGTTTCACTCACAAAACTTTTGCAAGATAATAACGCACAATGCCCTAATCTATTCCTCATTATGCATCTTAATTTCGCAAAGGCATGCAAAAGTCTTTTCTTCTGGGACTGCATGGTTAATGTATTTCCAAGATTTTAGATTAAAATTTATTTAAATGCATAAGGGAAAATTAATTTTAGATCATGTGACCGTTCATTTTTGGTAAAAAAAAAAAAAAAGTAAACATTTTAGCCTTCACTAGTTAATTTTAATTGCTTCTGTTCTGTGACAAATACTCTCTGTAGTCTCTCAATTAATATGAGGTCCTAAAAGCAGCATGCTTAATAAATAAAGCTATTTTTTGTCATTTGGTTTGCTGTTCAAAACTGGGCCATTGCACAGAGTATGAGACATAAACACACTCCATACTCACCTAGTAAAGGTGGCCCCAGTAAAACTGGCCCACATTCCACAATCGTCACCAGTCCTACAGCACTGGAAAAACGTTGAGATCCCACAAGATCCATGAGGGTCTCAAACAGCACTGAGCTCAGCCAGCCGAAGGCAAACCCAAAGAAGATGGCGTAAATCACGAACCCTGTGTAGTCTGTGGTCAGAGGGGCAAGCAGATGGCACACACCATTAAGGAGAATGGATGCTGCGAAGAAATGCTGCACCCTTGGTCTCACCCATTTCGTGTTGGCGACTATTCCCATTGAAGGTCGTGCAGCCATATCTACAAAGGCCAGGACAGAAAGCAGAAAAGCCGCCTTTTCTTTGGGAATTTCCTTACTCTTGGCGTAATTACTGAGGAACACAAGAGGAGTGAAGAGGCCGAAGAACATGACCACGTTACCCAGAAGGTAAAGCAAGAAGCCACGATGCTTGAAGAGTGTAAGATCGATAAAACCATTGATGATCTCCATCACGCTCTTTTGCTCTCTGGCTTCGCTATTAGCAGCATTAACAGCAGGTTGGGGTTTTGGCCCGATGGGCCTCATCAGGGATCCAGCTACACAACAATTCAGCAGAAGTCCACCTAGGATCAAGAAGCTCCCTCTCCAGCCGAAATGCTCGAAGAACCAGGTGTTTAGGGGAGCCAAAGTCGACAAGAAGACTGGGCTACCAGCCATGGCAATACCATTAGCTATTGGGCGCCTCTTGTAGAAATATTTCCCAATCATTGTGAGAGCTGGGTTGAGATTAAATGCCAGTCCAAGACCTGGAAAACATCATAACACACAGTTCAAAATGAAAACAGGTCTCCTGGATGATATTAAAATGTGTCACAAGAGTGTAACATCACCAGGAGTGCGATTACTGTAAATTGCATGGGATAAGAGCAACGGTGTATGTTTAAAAAAATCATATTTGTTTTGAATTATACCTCCCACTACACCGACACAGAAGTACAAGCCTTCGATAGTATTGCAGAAAGAGGCACCAATGAGCCCTGCTCCTGAGAGGCAGCCTCCTAAAATCATAATAGGCCGACTTCCATACTTATTGACCAGGATACTGTTGACAGGACCTGGGAATGAAATGAGAAAAAAAAAATCTGTCAGAATTCGCACAAAGCAGAGTGAAATTTATTTATTTCTGTAATCTGAATTTTTTCCCCCATTTTAAAAGCAATTTTTCTGAAGTTACAACCTGATACTTAAATCATTTAATCATTATATATATATATATATATATATATAAAGTTATTTTGATATTACTGATATTACTGTATATTTGACCAAATCCAAATACTTAAAAAAAAATGTGTGATATAATAATAAACCACTTCGATGTGAAAATGCTTTATCTTAAGTTAGTGTACTTGTTTACCAAGGAGAACAACAACAGTGTTGTTGAAAAGCATGCTTGAGATTAAATATAAGATATGTGGTGTGTGAAGAAAAATCAAGGTAATAGTAAAAAAGAACAATGGTTTAAGCAACACCCAATTCCAAGTTATCAGGACGTTTAACACGGGACTTGATTTTATCCATTGGGAATTGATGGGTTTGAAAACAGTGAGGTTGAAAAAGTTGGCTTGGCCTATCACAGGAACACTGTTTCAGAGGGGGAGCATGTTATTACATTATGATAAAAGATTACGAAGACAAAAATCTATCTGAAATAACATGCACAAATGCACTGTTCACAATAACACTAGGAATGTATACTAAAACAATAAACGGTCAGTTTTGATTTTTCATGACATAAGTTGATAGGCTTGAGAAATCCTATAAGACATAAGTTCAGACCACTAGAGGGCATTGCAGTTCTGTGGGGAATAACAATAGAATTTGACATTGCATATTACTGCAGTAATCATCAAACTGCAGATGTTGCTGTTTCCCACCATCATCCAGCTAACTGAGCACAAGATGTTACCTGTGAAATGCAGAGGCTGAAAGACCGATCTTAAAATGCTCAACTAAATCATATTCCAGTTATGTTTCACCCTATGGCAAACTTTAGCCCTAACAAACCTGTGTTGTGATACTCCCCTACAGTAGCAAACACAACGATCTCAAAGGTATTTCCAGTTACGTGGGTGTTTTTAAGTCTTTCATGTACTGAGTCCAAATCCTATCATGAATGTAGGAAGGAAGCCTGCTAATCATGTGAAAACCGGGGAGTGATGGCGAGCGCCTGCGTCTTCAGCCTCTCAGTACAATAGGCTGCCTTGTTTGCCTCTCTAATCCACCACGTACAGCGGGGGAGCAAGTCGCTGCGAACATGTACGAAAGAACATATTAACACATTTATAAATGCGGAAATTCATTAGTGTCATGTACAAACCCTAGTTTACCCCACAACGACTAATACCAGTAACTTTAACCAGATTTGAGCTTTCACGCTCTAGAAGAAAAGTTGAAGTAGATACATTTAGGGAAA